TCTGGATACGCAAAGCGTGCACCACTATGTGATATCCAACTTTGGTGACCTGGACGTTATAACGACAATCACGACGTAAGTATAAATTTACCCTACATCCCTTCCAAACCTATGTTCGGAGATGAATCCTCATTCTAGACCGATGGCAATAGAGTATCTCCTCACCCTCATCATCGTTTTCTGCATTCAAATATTCTTTGCTGTCAGGGTTTGGCGCCGTACGTGCTCTATTGGATCCTAATTGGTAGTTATTGAATTTATTTATTCCACAGTTGGCTCTTTCCATTGGACTGTTTACGCTTCAATCGTGCTAACTGCAGTTGGCTCATTAGGTACGTATATATACCTTGTCATTTAATGTTCGTTTCAAAAGTCAATTCCTTAGCTGCCGGTCTTTCAGCCGCTGGTCAACTCGTCACAGACAATAGTCTTCTTGGTTTGGCAGCCGTGAACTCACAGGTTGGCTTGGAGCTTCCATCAGTTTCACGATTCTAGCTCTAATTATCACAATCTCAGTTCGAAGTAGGCTGGGAGTGCGGGCTTTCAGCGGTGTCCGACCTTATAACCACCACTGCTCTTTGCTGGTCCTTCAGTCGTGTACAGACCGGAATCAAGCGAACCGACACGCTGCTACAGAAGTTTTTCCAGTACACAGTAACACGAGGCGTTCTTGTTACCCTCGACCAAACGCTCTTTCTTGTGTTTTTCTTGACCAAAACCGAGAAATTGTGGTGGTAATAAATTCGTTCGCTGTGATTTGATCAGATATGGTGTTCTCTGACTCGCGCGCTTGCTTCCACAGGTTACCTTTCCATCTTTGCTCGAGCAAGATTTATGTCAACACCATGGGTAAGAACGAGCTCGAAGTCTTATCCTCTCCTTTTTCATTGACATAAATCCTTTATGATGCAGTCGCCATGTTGAATTCTCGGAGCAGCCTTCGAGCCAACTTCGATAATAAGAACGGTATCATCACTGATTCGGACCTGCCAGGGTATTCTTCAACACATTCTGCCATCAGGACTCATCAACTTGTAGATTCAATCCCTGAAAGGAGTATTACGATCAACGAATCTGGTAGCCGCGGCGCAATCAACAAATTTAAGATTGCGATCCCGTCGAGAAAGGGAAGGGATGATGATACATTTAGTGACAGTTATATCGAGGTAAATTCGCCTGCATTCATGTGTTCAACTATAAACTGACAGACTCACCGTCCGAAAGATGGGAAATCGGAAGCCGGAAGGAATAATTGTAACACGAGAGGTGCTGCCTCCTCAAGATATATAGATTACGTGAACTGTACCATTAAGCTGTGTATAACGAAAAATACAACGAGAATATATTAATCAAATCTGGTCTCAACCAGAACTGCCTATTATATCCAAGCTCCGGTTAATCTCTCGAGCGTTTACCTTAACAATTAATCCATTGAAAGCTGGTTAATCAGTTACAGTGGTAAGTAATTAATCAGCTCGAGGTACAGAAAGCTGGTTAATTATATGCTACATTGGTAGGTGTTTACTATAATGATATACAGAAGCTCTGGTTACTCGGAATTCGGGAATACATGTTCAATATTTGTGCAAGTGCCAGTTGCTAGTACACACTCAGATATTCTGTTTCATTGTGCCTCTAAGTATCTTGTGCGCGGCAGGTTCTCAGTGCTAAAGGAGAGACAGGTACAGGGAGAAAATGGACATAGGAGGAGTGTACTACCATAAGCAATTGAGACACAATGAACCTTACTGGCCTGGGTGCCTATGGTGTTTACAGAAGAGAAGTAGATGAAGGAAAGAAGCAAGGACTCAGAGTACGTTAATTATTTCAGGATGATTAATCATTTCAGGATGATTAATCATTTCAGGATGATTAATCATTTCAGGATGATTAATCATTTCAGGATGATTAATCATTTCAGGATAATTAATCATTTCAGGACAATTAATCATTTTTGCAAAGACTGATTATGACTTGCTAATCAGGGAAACACTGCAGTTCATGAATCTTCATGTCTGCTTCAAATCAACATAATGTTAACAAAGCTACAAGAGACTGTGTTCACTGGTACTAAAGTTCAACCTTGAGTTCAACTCCTTGTCTTCTGTATTCTATATTAATATATAATGTATATTAGTGCTAATGCTAAGAGTATGAGTCCTTCCTTTGCTGACTCTTTTCCGAAGAAAGAAAGAGCCAATGTTGGATGGGCTCACTTGATGCACTTCCTCGGCATTGTTATCTGCAAGTTCAAAGTATAGGCTTACTAAGCATCGAGGACCCGGTGCTTTGTAAGCATAACTTGGGCCATAAGTAACGTCAAACAGTCAATTGTTTTCGACCATCTGATAATTGACCATATAGCCCAGGCAACTGGGGATTAATCACTTTCTTACTGATTAATCATTTCCAAAGCCATACATTGTAATTAATTACCTTTCAATGATTAATCATTTCCAAGGCCATACATTGTAATTAATTACCTTTTAATGATTAATCATTGTCAAAACCCAAGATTAACCACAGCTGGCGCCATTCCCAAGACCACACACATGTGTAAGGGACTGGGTTAACCATTTTCTTTTGACTCTTTCCCTTCACCATGTTGATCCTCTCATCTCCAAAAGTGCACTTGTTCAGCTATCAGTAATGTCAACATGGGTCACTGGGAGGTGAGCCTGGCTGCAGTCTGTGTTCAATGAGTCACTTCTGCTGGATCTGGTAGTTGGGACTACATAGCGTACTAGACTGTGTCTTCCAACATTCATTCCCCACTATCTATCAACTACTTTTATGATAATTAATCACTTTTGCAAAAGATTGAAGTTAATTAATCAGTCTAGCAAGTGCTCACATAGGGATTAATCATTTCGGAGCTGATTAGATCGAGCTTTCTGAACTGATTAACCAGTTTTCAAGGGATCAACCATCAAGGTTTGTACAACAGTTGTTATTATTCGGAGCTTGGATATAATAGGTAGTTTTGGTTGAGACCAGATTTGATTAATGACTTTTAGTTGTCTTGCAGGTATAACTATTGAGATCCCCAACGACCCATTTAGGCGCACTCGTTTTTCGGTTTCGGCAGCCGTTACCAAACTGTGATTTTACGCTTTGACATGAGGGTCAAAGGCTTGTTTCACAAGTCGTTCTAAAATCAAGTAAATCGCCTCTGAAACGTTAGAACGCCTTCCTGAGGCGATTCAACGAGGTGAATCGCGATTCAGCTTCACATATTTAGGCCTAGTACTGGCCTAGTATTTCTTGTAATAGGCAAGCGGAATGAGCAAGAATGTGGTCAAGGCTTTGGCTCGGAGGGTTCGGCCCATTATGGCATACGCTTACTAGGTGAAAATAAAATAATGATGATAAATCCGTAGCAAAATATTATCTGGGAATTAAATGGTACAGATGAAGCGACAGCAATGGGCGAATCATAGCTACTTTATGTTTAGTCAAAGATGAATCATGAAACTGATTTAGGCCGATTCTGAGATTCATCAAAATCTGGGTCAAGCGCTTTGACGTGCCGAGTAATGATAGCAATTAGAACTTGCAGCCAATTCATTCATCCGAGAAGTAATCGCCAAGCTACCTGAATGCCCCGAGGACGAAGATGCTTGTGCCGCATCGGGTTACTTCTCGGCTAGCCGGCGTTCAGATCTTGGACCAAGCCGTGTAATATACTTCCTTCCTTCCTTCCTTCCTTCCTTCCTTCCACTATGCACACGGGTTACCTGTCAACCTGTCACACTTCCCAGCATAAAAAGTGAAGCCTGACGAGTCAAGTCTATCAACTGCTGGTTCAGTCCCCCAACTTGCGTTTGCCAGTCAAATATCGCCACTGTTTTTCCATCTATCTTTTTCGCCTTATCACTTGCAATCACACCCCTCCCTCATCCCTCTTCCCCATGTATCTCAACCCTTGTATCATCCTCAGTGTCGTCTCTGTATATACAGTAGGCACGTTCGCTGGACCAGTCCTTGTAAGTGGTCACTAGCTTTTGCGATTATAATAGTGTCTGGACTAACTATGGAGGAAAGACCCGCATTCCGTTATCACATTTTGCCGATATTCGTTTCGATGCGCATTACAAGTTTATAGGTACAGCAAAGGAGGGTAGGGATTTGCTTGATTGGCTGTTTGCGCAACGGAAGGTCGTAGAGGCTCTTGACGCTGAGATTGTGCCCAACATCCCAACTGGAGAGAAATTTCCCGGACCTAGTCGTTACGGGGGATACACATCTCCAATTTGATCTCAGCTTCCCACCTAAATGTAACCCATGTCGTGGATATGTTGGTCTCAACTACAAAGCTTTGATCAATGATCATGAACAAAAGCCGCTTGTTGAGCTCTAGAACAGATAAACCCAGGAGGTATGTGTACGTATTGAAGCTTTGAACCGAGGTCTTTCGTCTCATTGTCTTCAGATATTTTGATAGGGAATTCAAATGGGATGGCTAGGCTGTGTTAACAAGCGGTCATGGGTGTATGTTCTGCGGAAGTTGAGTCTGCCCAAGGGGATTGAGCATTTTTTATGACCGATGTAATAAGATATGGAGAAACAATGAAAGAATTTAAATGATCCTATGACGAACTTGGAGCGTAAGAAGGGCGTCAATTTGTTCGATTCAAGTTGAAGGAATGCGAGGGTTTATCCATGGCCTGATGTAGTAATGTCACCTTTTTCAACGCCGCACAGGACCAACACGAAACCAACCAACAGGAAAATAACCCCTTTGATAACCCTGAGGCTGGTGGAGCAAGATAAATCCCCGCAAACGAACTCGGAAGCGGCAGCAGGTAATTTTTGTAACGGCAAATCTGAAGCCATTCCGGAAGATACTCAACTTTTTTTTTTTTTTTTTTTTTGAGCTGATCAAATACGGTCTAGGTAGCTCGAGGCAGACAGTCCGAATCTACTTGAGTGACATCCACGGCGGAGATCTAGACGGGTTAGGCACGGTGATAATCAATGAATATTCTAGGCTCAAACATGACCCCTTAGCTCAGTGGTAGAGCGTGTGATTCCAGCACTTCGATTCCACAAGGTCGTCCGTTCAATCCGGGCAGGGGTCATTCCTAGCTAAAGTGGCTGATCTATCCTTTTTATTGACTGCGTAGTAGTTTTTGTTCCGTCTGGACTGTATCAGTTGCGATGGTGATTATGATTTTGGATCTTCGCAGTTGCAAGCTGTCTGTTTCCGCATCGTTTCTCAGTCCTCCAATTGGCTCATATCCCAGTATAAAACCCCATTCTCTTGCAGTTACTTCGCTTTAGCTATAACTTATCCAGCATGAATCTACTACCGCTTTTTTGAAACACTGTTAATAGAGATGCTTTTGACAGAAAGCCTGACTCAATTCGAAAATGGCTTAGACTTTGAGACAAATAATGTATCATAGTTGAGTGACTGTGTCGCCATTGCCTCCTCCCGAGAATTACAGAACATAATGGAGATGATTGAATTGCATGCGTGCCCCTTCCTTCATTCACCGTGACAAACTGCAGATGTATTTTCGGACCAGCACCATAGAAGTTCTTAATCAGTCTGTTTTTCATTTGAGCGGATTTTTTTTGTACTTCTGGCATGAATGCACTTCCTTATTCCCTGCCCTGGGAATAATATCTGTCAGTGAATAGTTCCTCACAACATGAGATACCAGGTGTCACAACTTCCAATTTAGGCAAAGAGATAAACAACGAGGAAAAGAGAAGATGATATTGAGGAGAGGTACTGACAAGATTGAAGCTAAGGACTATACTACAGCTACAACTACTATATATACTACTGTACAAGCCCTAGATCCAGTACCTCATGCCCTGTACATACTAATGCATGAAACTATTAAGTAAAACAGTATCAACATCTGTAAGTAATAAGTGATTGTTGCAATGAACCAGGCTGCCTGCAATCAATCCAGTCACCAACTGGGCCAAAAGATTACAATGTCAAGGTTACTTGACATGGTTGCAGGCACTATATAAGTGTAATAGATGGAGCCATTACAATTGTACATATCCAGCACAGAGAATGGCACAAGTACCACTTGTGGGTTACCTGTACTTGCATTGCAGGTACCTGAGCTCCTCCAAGTCATACCTCCATCCATGAGAAACCTGTACCACAGGTACCTGTAACCCATGGATGGTTCACCTGCAGGTATCCACAGATATTACAGGTACAGAAGCAAACCCTGATCCGAAACAAAATTAAAAAATAGACACACAGAATGCAAATATTGATGGATTTTCTTAATTCTTTTTACATTCACAGTTGAGTATATGTGTTGGGACCTATTGAGGAACTTGCACAGAACTAGTGAAAATGTGTTGCCTTTTACAAGTCCACCATAAACCTTCCATAAGTGCCAACAACTTAGGAGAGTTTCAAGGAAATTCTTACACAACGGTGCCGATTGTGATCCAAGCTTGTCTAGCCTTGGGTTTTTATGTTTTTCATTGTCTTACAAGAGTCGAGAGGTAATAGAGATTTATAATTGGCGAGAGACATATCAACAGTAAAACTGAGTCCTAACGAGTTTCATCGATCCCTCTTCCATTACATGAGGTTCCAGCATAGTTTGCATTTGGTTCGAGTCGTGATGAGGCGAATTAAAGAACGAGAGAGTATCCCTAAAATTTAAGGTGTAAGTAAGCCAAGCATAAAATCAAAATCTGAACCTACGCTGTTAGGATGTCCAATTCCCCAAGGGTTTGATTAAGGAGACAGTACCTGCCAGCCTGATGGTCTGGATATTGTGCCAAAATCGCTGCTGCTTTACGAAGTCGTAAGGAGAGTTCGAGCATTGTCTGATAGTTACAGATATCCCAGGAACAGTTGCACGATTGCCCATAATTGCAATGGGGAGAATGTGTTGTGGAGATGTCATTGAGCTGGTGGTGTATCTCTGCAACATCCTCATATTCTACGAAATGCGGGGCCTGTATGAGAACAGAACTAAGATTAACGCTAGTAGAGGATGGGTTGGAATGCGTAGCCATAGTCGGTGGAGATATGGCGAGGGCTGATAAATCGGGCAAGGAAGACGTCGAGGAGCTTGCGGGCGGTGGATAAGTGGTGTTTAATAAATTTGTGTCGGGTGGCCCAGAACCTGAAGACTCGGATACCCACTGCAGATGAAGCTCATTGCTCTTCAACTAAACATACGTAAGTGGCGGCACTATACTGACTTGCTGCTCATACGTACTTCCTGGATCTCGGATTCCAGCTCTGCTACTCTTTTGCGTAGCTTAGAGCACCGGTCTTGGTTGCTGATATGCTGACTAGATTCATCAACTTCGTACACACAACGACCAGTCTGACGAGCGTCAATGAGCGGATTAGCTCATCGCCAACTACTAAATGAATTCGAAATAGACTGACCAGCCCCATTTCAATACAGCGCGCGCAATTGGGCCTTCTTCTATCACACTGTCGGAAAGGTCAGTTCTTTGGGTGAGACCACAGGTCCCAGGAGGTCCTGACCATTCGCTTTGATGTGTAGCAGTTAAGACAAGACAGTATAGCTCTATGTCTTCGTCTAGAACAGGCAATGAGTACATTATCACAATAATTTGAATTTGATACCTTTTATAACCATTGCCCTCATCGGGAGGCTGAGGGTCAGATTCGTCAGAAGAAACTTTGGGGGTAGCTTTTGTCGACATGGGTAGATAGATACCGATGCTTGGAGGAAGCTGCAAGAGTGAGCTCTTATATTTACATCAAACTAGATTTCTGGCAGTTCGAGAAACATCATGAACTCGAAAAGAAGCTCCGCGGGATCAAACAGGCAAAGATCCCATTCGGCGCACAATACTCACGAGGATAAGAAGTATGTAGCTGGAATCGAGCTTATGTATTGAAGTTGCAAGACAGTGTCAGTTACTATACATACACTTGCTTGTCAGCTTGCACAATGTACTCGAAGATCTGACCATCCCGGTTTCTTGGGTGCGGGATTGTAGCGGGTAGTTTAGGATTGGCGTGCATAAAATTCATCTGAAATCGCTGATTGCTCAGAGTAGGTCACGGTTACACCCGATGTACTGTAGTTCATCAAAGGAGTCGGACGTGCAGCTCCTATATTCAATATTCAGCCAAGCACAGTCGGGAGAGGGGTAAGACGATATCAGATTATATGCCCGATGAGTTAACAGTAACTCGCACCTTGCTTAAGCTTTACCATACCAACCAACTGATGATCAGCACTTTCAGTTTTTAGTGGAAGCTCATAGGTCTACTCAATGGCAGTTTATAAAGAGCTCCAGAAGGCGTATATCATAGATTCACACCATCTATTATCCCGGGAATACTTGAGCCCGCAATACTCACCTAAGATGATCATTAGAGCTGTATTTGAGCTTGACAGGCACCCTGTTACACCCGTGCAAAACAGGTTGCTCCCTGCGCTTCCCGACGAATTGCTAACGCTCAAATGTTGGGACGCAGCGATATCTCGTGGAGTGTAAAAGTTTCAAGAGTAAACGATGCGGGTATATGCATTCTCACACGCATTGATCCTTTTTCATTGGGGATGCTGGAGTTCGAAGATCCAGAAGCTTGTCCATTCATTGATGATCTTGAACACAAAGAACAAGAACCTGGAGCGAGGAAAGACTCGGAAAAAAACGACTTCAAAGCACAGAGGAAAGGATGAACGGTAAACATCGACGGGTGCCTCCCTTGCAACCTCTGAAAGTTGCATTTAAGTATAAGACAGGTCTTCATGGCTGTTGAGTTTCGGTGTAACAAGGAAATCGGACTGGCCTGCTTGACATGGATTAGAAGCATCTGATACGGGGTCACGGCGCCATTGATATTCGGCGCAAGTCGATCGATGAAAGGAAGGGAATGGAGAAAAGTAGAATTATGACATTCGGTTGGATTTCTCCGGCTCCTTCTCCGGCTCCTTCTCAGGCAAGACTCGCATACTACCCCGCAGTCCACCAGAGGAGGCTGATGAGTGGTGGTAGTGGACAACGTTTAAGAGAATGTGGAATCCGCTATGTAGGACGCTCGAGATAGCAAAAGACTCTAGCCGAGCAAATGAAAGATATTTGGCCAGCATACTTCAGGAACGTCCGTGGAAGTTGTGCTACTGATTCAGTCAGAGAGAGTATTTTGACACTTAGTTTATTGAGATGCGGCGCTTTGGTTCGGGTGTTTCGTCTTTTTCGGAGAAGTATTAGCTGAACTTTTAGCACGATTTGTAAGTCCTTGAGCCCAGAACCGACTGGTCCTGGAATATCATCCAAATGCTCAGATACTTCCTGAAATTGAATTTATTACCCACCTCAATCCATAGCTCTCTTCTGACTTTAAGTACTCGTTTCCTCGAATCGCAAAATTAATCGCATAATTGTTGAAAATGTTATCATTGTATGAGTGGACCCCTGGTAATCAGCTGCAGCTGCCATATCTTCGTGAGTGGTTGAGTGGCTTTGATGATTATTGAACGTCCATCCAAGCAACCGGTAAAGCTTAAGCCTGAGGCCGAAACCGAGTCATAAGCGCCCAGGTCATCATGATAACGGCGCCAGAACTTGAACCATCACGTTCGACCTGTCTAGCACGAGCCCGAGTCCTGAATATAGTCGACGATAAGGGATACTTCACCTCCCGTTCCTCTTCTCTTTGACTTCTCTCTTTTTTTACAATCAATCTTTCGACGAAACGCAACGCCAGAACTAATCCTTTCCATGTACCAACCTCTGGAATCAGCCCACTCAATAAAGCAGCCAACAATCTCTCCTAGTCTTTCTAGATATCTTCAGAGCCAACTCCTGGTATGGCGACATCCAAGTAATTTGCGAATGAACGACGCTTCTGTGTGAAGACTGGACGATCCACTACGTCATAGTTTCTATCTATGCGCTCGACAACTACATATCTGGTCAAGAAGGCATGAATGCGGAGGAATGGCTTTGGAGCAGACTGGGTTTTTCGGCCGCCGCGCGCGCGTGTCGAAGACTTGAAGGTTATTCCATCGACTATGACAATAGTGAGGTTATTCAGTTTATGTTCTTCATCTGCTGCTGCCGCTGTTGGTTTGGTCCTTTCTAGACCTTTCTA